ATCCTCTCCACAGCCCTTGGTGGCCACATCTAGTCAGGTGAGTGGATGCAAGAAGTTGGGATTGGTAAAGTTGTCCCATCTTGGGCCCTTCTGGGGTTTGTGATTTCTACTCTGGGCACTGTTTTCCTAGCATCACCAGCAGCAGCAACAGATCAAACGGTCTGCTCGGATGTGTGGTGAGTGTGAGGCATGCCGGCGTACAGAAGACTGTGGTCACTGTGACTTCTGCCGTGACATGAAGAAGTTTGGGGGCCCCAATAAGATCCGCCAGAAGTGCCGGCTACGCCAGTGCCAGCTGCGGGCCCGGGTGAGCATGGACAGAGCTGGGAAGCTTCAGGTGGGAGGCAAGGCTCTAGTAGTCCACGTAGAGCTGGGGGGTTGAGGCAGCGGGTGGGCTGGAACCTGATTATATCCAGATTAGAAGGGGTCTACCGTGTCCAGATGAATGCCACATGGTCCGGTATGCTGACCGGGTAGGAGACCTTCAGCTCTAGTAGGCCCAGGTGTCTGCAAGTGGTCAGGCATATCAGGGCACGAGAAGTTAGACCTTTGGGGTAAAGGCGCCTGAGGAGGTAAGGAAATGTTAGGCGGGCAGGGCCACCCTCTCTCTACCTGGGGTTGACCTGTGCCTTCCTCTTGTTGGCACAGGAATCATACAAGTACTTCCCATCTTCGGTGAGTCCAGCCCCCCAGGGTAGGGCAGGGCATGTGGGCAGGGCAGTCAGGGCCAGTCCTGAGATTCTGCCCCTCAGCTCTCTCCTGTGACACCTTCAGAATCCATACCAAGGCCCCGCCGGCCACTGCCCATTCAACAGCAGCCACAGACATCCCAGAAGCTGGGGCGTATCCGGGAAGATGAGGGGACAGTAGTGTCATCAGTGGTCAAGGAGCCACCTGAAGCTACAGTAACACCTGAGCCACTCTCAGATGAGGAGCTACCACTAGACCCTGACCTGTACCAGGACTTTTGTGCAGGGGCCTTTGATGACCATGGCCTGGTGGGTGTCAAGAGAGTGGGATTTGGTCATTCTTGGGGAGAGGGGAGGCAGTATATCCAAAGTGGCTTTGGGAAATGAGAAAGAGCTGGGGTTGTCCTAAGTCAGACAGCTGAGTCAGATCATACTTTGCATATAGCCCTGGATGAGTGACACAGAAGAGTCCCCATTTCTGGATCCTGCACTGCGCAAGAGGGCAGTGAAAGTGAAGCATGTGAAACGCCGGGAGAAGAAGTCTGAGAAGAAGGTGATGGAAGGGGAAAGCAGATGTGGAGGGGCAGAGTGTGGGGTGGGGTTGGGGGGAGATAACAGAGAGATCAGGGCTGAATGGGACAGAGCCAGAAAATGCCAGAATGGAGAGACAGGATCTAGGTTGACTTCAGTTCCACACTGACTGGACCTATCTTGCCCAATAGAAGGAAGAGAGGTATAAGCGGCATCGACAGAAGCAGAAGCACAAGGACAAATGGAAACACCCAGAGAGAGCTGATGCTAAGGACCCTGCATCTCTGCCACAGTGCCTGGGGCCTGGCTGTGTGCGTGCTGCCCAGCCTGGCTCCAAGTATTGCTCAGATGATTGTGGCATGAAGCTGGCAGCTAAGTAAGTCTTTCCTGGAGGATTATAGGAAGTCAGGAAATAACAGGGCATGACCAAAGTCTCCTGTATATCTACCAGTCAGTTACCTATAAAATCATTTCATCAACCAGGCACATCCATCCACATGCCTACTTGACCATCTTTCCAGCTATGCATCCAGCTGCCCATCCTGCCAATTAGCCATTTACCACCCTTTCATGTTTTCATCACCTATCCATGTGTTAGCCATTAATCACCACTCATACTGGTTTTGTTGCTTCCTTGCCTACACTCCATCCACTGCCTCCCTGCAGCCGCATCTATGAGATCCTCCCCCAGCGCATCCAGCAATGGCAGCAGAGCCCTTGCATTGCTGAAGAGCATGGCAAGAAGCTGCTAGAACGCATTCGCCGTGAACAGCAGAGTGCCCGCACACGTCTGCAGGAAATGGAACGCAGATTCCATGAGCTTGAGGCCATCATTCTGCGTGCCAAGCAGCAGGCTGTTCGAGAGGATGAAGAGGTGAGAGAGCAGGGCATAGCCAGACAGGGCCTAGTTCCTGATCCCAGTATCTTAACATATCTTCCATCCTCTGCAGAGCAATGAAAATGACAGTGATGACACAGACCTGCAAATCTTCTGTGTCTCCTGTGGGCACCCCATCAACCCACGTGTTGCCTTGCGCCATATGGAGCGCTGCTATGCCAAGGTCAGGGTGTCAGCCTGAGGGGGGGTGGCTAGGGTGGGACCTTCAGTGGTGTTTGGGTGGTGTCTGTGAGGGCATGTAGTGCATATCCATAATTCCTTCCATTTGTGCTCATCCCTTTAGTATGAGAGCCAGACGTCCTTTGGGTCCATGTACCCCACACGCATTGAAGGGTGAGTGAAGGTGCCAGGTAGAGCTAGAGAAGTAGAGGGAAGTTAAGGGTGGGATCAGAAATGGAGTTTGTGTGAAACTAGGACAGGATATGAACATGGGTAAGGATAGGTGGGCCTTCAAGATAATCTGAGTTGACCGCTGCAGACCCTCTTTTCTTTCTTAATCCCTAGGGCCACACGACTCTTCTGTGATGTCTACAATCCTCAGAGCAAAACATATTGTAAGCGGCTCCAGGTGCTATGTCCTGAGCACTCACGGGACCCCAAAGTAAGTTTTTCCTCCAGCTTCCCCTCTGTGCCCACCCTTGCCTCATGCTTCCCCTCTTCCCTTCCCTTTTTCCTGACAGCTTTAATTCCCCTTTCTCCTCCCTATCTACCCCTACTCCTCCCACCCCTGCTGTTCCTGCAGGTGCCAGCTGATGAGGTCTGTGGGTGCCCCCTTGTACGTGACGTCTTTGAGCTCACAGGTGACTTCTGCCGACTGCCTAAGCGCCAGTGCAATCGTCACTACTGTTGGGAGAAGCTGCGGAGGGCCGAAGTGGACCTGGAACGAGTGCGGGTGGTAGGTTTTGATGCTTGACATGGCCAGGCTGAGATGGGCTTCAGGGGCTGCTTCTCACATCTTTTACTCTCTTGGCAGTGGTACAAGCTGGATGAACTGTTTGAGCAGGAGCGCAATGTTCGCACAGCCATGACAAACCGGGCAGGGTTGCTGGCCCTGATGCTGCACCAAACGATCCAGCATGACCCATTAACAACTGACCTACGCTCCAGTGCCGACCGCTGAGCCTCACCAGCCCAGAGCCCCTCACACCCTGCATTCCAGTGGGGAGAGCAGCCCTGGGTGCCCAGTTGTTCATTCCTCCATTCATGTTCCTTCCACTGTCCCTGAGTGTTCCTCCCACTGTCCATCCACAGTTTGACTGGCCAGCCGCCCTTTGCAAGAGGGTGTCACAATTCTCTCTGTCTTTGTTTGTCCCTCTGTTTCCATTCTCTGTGTCTAGGTGGGACTTCCCTTGTCTTTCCCGTCCCCTGGGTTTTGTTAATAAAATTTTGAACCAAGGAAGAGAGCTCCTGATGGTCTCCATACCTGCTCCAGTTGCAGCTGTCATTCCAGTCTCCGGAAGAGGTGGGCACTGGCACTGCTCTTCTCAGGAGTAGGCTGTGAGGATAGTGTTGGAAATGTCCTTTAGGATCTGAGGTATCACAACAGAGTAAGACCCAAGCCTAAGAAATTACATGGCACAGCAATTTTTTACTTCTGCAAAAGAGTGCACAGCTGACAGAAGTCAAATCAGTGAGTACCCTCCGCAGACTTTTTGGTCCAACAGATTTCTTAAGGTTGACCAAAAGAACACCTCCACCCCCAGAGCCTAGGTTGCACTGCTCCCAAAGTGGCTTTGCTCATGCCAAACAGCTGTTTGACGGGAAAGATCCTTGTACAGCTGGGGACCCATTCTGTCCCTTAGGTTGTGAGGATATGACTACCATGGGCAGCCAATGACCTGAATGTTCAGTCACTCATCTTGGGACGCTGGCATCTGCCACTCAGGCAGTGAGACTGGTGATCGGCCCCTGCAAGACCCGAGGGGCTCTGGATTAGCCTACCAGCTGGGGATTAGCCTACCACAGGGGCTTGTCCCACCGTCTCCTCTGCCATAGGGGAACACAGCATGACAGCATGGCCACGGTTTACCTACAGCCTACAGTGCGCCCGCTCTCCTGGGTTCGCTCACTCCCCCCCAGCCCCCCCCCCCCCCCCCGCAGTCCATCCTACTGGGAAGAAGAGGAGGGGACACTGGGGGGCCTGGGGAAGATGTCCCAGGGCCAGGCCCAGTGTCGGGGGTGTATGTGTTAGGAATAAGAGGTAGAACTGGCAATTCACTCCGGAGGGCACTAGGACAGATATGCAAATGAACTAGCACTACGTGCTTATCAGAACTGCAATACGCCCCAAAAATGGACGGCCGGCCACGGCTAGCGGCCAAACGGAGCGAACTAAACTCAGTCTAGGCGGGGTGCAGGGTTAGAGCTCTGTCGTCCGACCCTGCTGGCCGGCCTAGTGTGGGAGCCAGCCGCGGCCCCGGACACGCCAGCCGCAGACCTTGAGAAGCCGCAGGTGAGCAGTCGTGGGGCCGGCCGGATGGCGTCGGGTAGCATTGTATGAAGTGTGTGATAATGGAGGGATGTAATCTTGGAGTAAGTAACAATCGAGCAAATCAATACTGGATGCATCTCAGCTCATCCGCGTAAGGATTGTCCTCGCAACCGAGATAAGGCGCCCCGGTAGAGCCCCGGCTGGGCGGTCCCTCTTCACTACTTGGGAGTCTAACGGTACTTCAGCAAGGCGGTTCCCGCCCCCTGGGTTGAGTCCAAGGCGCAGGCGCCACCAAAATGGGCGGCGTGGGAAGCGGCGCGCCAGCTGAGGAAGCTCGGAGCACGAGCGCTCCCGCGCGAGAAGTGGGCGCCAGCAGGGGTTGCAGTCAGCGCAGGCGCAGAAGGTCCCAGCCCGGTGCGCGCCCCCTGAGCCCCACCGTGGGGCTTCAGCACGCAGGCGCGGCAGTGTCCGCTCCAGGACCCAGCCGCCAAAGCTGTGTGTGGGTTTCACGTCCGGGACGGAGCACGAGAGGCAGGCAGTGGATTTCCGGTTCCGGGAACAACGAACAGCCGCTGGTGCGACAGCTAGGGTTTCGGAGGCGGCGGCCGCAGAGGTGGGAGAAAAGTAGGGCTAGGCGGGACGTGCAGGCGGCATCTTCGTCATGGGGCCGCAGGCCTAGCAGAAGCTGCGGGAGCTCCCGGCCCGCGCCGAGCTGGTGAGAGAGCCGTGGGAGTGGGAGTGGAGGACGCTCGGGCGACGCGGGAAGGAACTACGCCTGACGGGGAGGGAGGGCCCTCGGGCCAGGAGGAGGAAGAATGGCGGCGTCCGAGGGTTGAAAGGGAGGAATGGGGTGACTTGCTGGGGAGGAAGGAATGTCAGAGCCGCACACTGACAGGAGTGGCGGGGGCCTGGGACCCGGCGCAGGCCGGAAAGAGAGACATTAGCACACCCAGGGGCCACGGAAGAGAACTGGGGGGTTCGCAGCACTGAGAGGGAGAATCGGGGGACCCCTCCGGCTGATGACAGGGAGAAACGGGAGGGTTGGATCGCTGAGGGGAGGGGCTCCTGTCGTGGGTGAGAAAAAGGAGAGGGCCAGAATGCCGTGGAAAATACTCCTGAAAGAAGCAAACGGTGCTCCAAGAGTTGGAGAACTCAGGTTTATGACGCGAGGCCCAGAGGAGTTCCTACTCCAGAGTCTGAGCCCTGACCGACAGGAGCAACCCAGTGGTTAGTTTCTCGAAAATTACTTGAAGCATAAAGATCAGGCTGGTTCTGGCAATAGAAGGCTTTTTTCCTTACCAGGTTGAGCTAGTTCCGATGATAACAAGTTTTCCTTATCATTACCCCTTTTGATTCTCTCTCCACACACAAACACTCATGTGTGTATAGATATATATATCCTATATATATTAGGATATGTATGCATATTAAAGTATGTGTATATATTAGAATATAGTAGCATCATCTTTTAATAAATTGTGTTGATCTATGGACTGGTATACTCGCAAAGCAAGGATCTGTGCAGCCATTATCCTTTCTACTGCCAGTTCTGTAGCTAAGAGGGTGTGCACTATGAAGGCAGTACACACAGAATGATTCTGCATCCAGCTGCTATGGCCAAGACTAAAGTCTGGAGTCCACCTAGTCTTGAGAACCATCCTCCAAATAGCTCCTGATGGCAGGGTCTGGAGAAACTGATAACAGACATCTCCCACTGCCCCTGGCCCTCAGTTCAAACCATATTTCCTTGGGGTATTCTAGGGGATCAAAACATAACTTTACAGGACAGGAATAGTATGAATGATAAACTAATGGCTGCAATATGGTGGTGTCTACATAGTTTTTATACACAGTCCAGTCGCAGAGATTGTCACGAATGCTCTGCTCCAGAAGATCACCCTCAAGCTGTGAATTAGTCAGCCCAGGAATAACCAAAGCAGGGCTGTTGTCTCCGTAAGCTTATTCTCAGCGGGTCTTCTCTGGTGAGCTTTTACTTTCCAGCTCCTCCAGGACAGCTGCTCTCTTAACTCATGTGGTGGATCCAAGGAGTGATACCTGCAACCTTTACAGCAGTGGGGGTGGGTAAGATGACAATATGGGGCCCTCCCCACAGTAGGAGTGGTTCCTTTTCCCAGGTTTTGACCTGCACGGACTCCCGTGGTTGTCAAGGCTGAGCCTAGTTTCCAAGGAGAAGGGAGTACTTTCCCAGGAGATACAACGGACTGTTTTTTTTTTTTTTCCCAAGGCTTGGAGCTGTCATGACAACTCTATTTCTCCCAATTGTTTGGAATCTCCCTCCAACCTACCAAAGATAGGTGGGGGCCTGCCATATATAACCACAGAAGAGGAAAATCCCAAGGAATTGGGTGTGTACCTGACTCGTGGAATCCGCAGCAGCAGGGTGCCTCAGTTCCTTGGCAGAGTTTGGCTTAGGTAGTTTTTAGAGTTTGATTCATGCACTCAGCTTTTCCTGAATTCTGGTTAGTAGGAATATGGAGTTTTCATTGGACACTTGAAGCCTTGGCTTCAGAAATGAATGCTGGCCTGTTGTCTGATCCTGTAGACAGAGGCAGCCCATAGAGGGGTGTGATCTCTTTTAACAGTGCTTTTGCAACCTCTCAGGCCCCCTACTTGCGTCTGGAAAGGTCTCAGCTACCTGAATAGGTGCAGAATTGAACTAACAGATAATGGAATCCTTGGCCTGGTTTTACTTCCATGAAGTCCACTGTATGTCCTCAAAGGGTGATTGATATCCCCGCAGCTTGTATGTGAAGGGTCTTGGGAATTTGTTGGTTTACATTATTTTTGGTACAAGTTGTACATTTTTGACTAATGTAGGCACATTGGGTGGGGAGTCTGGCAATAAACTAATACCATTCTAACAAGGATTACAGTTTAGTTTTTTTCCCAGTGCCCCATTTCTTGGCATTGTGTTATTAATTGATAGGCCAATTTCTGTAGGACCAAGAGACACTGGTTGGGGGACCCTCTATAACCTTCTGTTGTCTGATGTCCTCCCTCCAAGGTTAGCTCCCTCTTGCCTATACTTTGGACTTTCTGAGAAGCTTGGGGTTACTAACACCTGGACCATACATTCGGTGGTGACAGGACATTTAGGCTGTTGAATAGCCTCCTTTGCCACCTACTTGGCATACTATTTCCTCTACTGACAGTGTTGTTGCCCTTTTGATGCCCTCTCCAGTGGATTACAGCAACCTGTGATGGGCTCCATACTGTCTTCAGCAGGTGGAGGATTTCTTTATTATTTACTTTATTTCTTTTCCTCTTGCCAAGAGGATTTCCCCCCCCCCTTTTTAAATAAAGGGCTCCATGTACATGCAAGATAGCGAAGGAATATTTAGAGTCAGTGTAGATGTTAACTCACTTGGTGGCAGCAAATTCCAGAGTCCTGGTTAAGGCCCATAATTCTGCCCATTGGGCCAACCATCCCTGTGGAAGGACCTTTGCCTCCGATGTCTGGTTCTTGGTGGTAACTGCATATCCTGCCATCTAGCATCCTTCCCTGACATAAAGCTCCTGTTGGTGAACAGGACCAAGTCTGGAGGCTTGAGGGGGTGGTCAGTTAGTTCAGGTCTGCTTGAAAACTCTTCATCTATCAGGTCTTCACAGACATGATCTGGGAGCCTGGGTCTGCTGGCAGGAAGGTGGCAGTTTCAGTTTCAGGTGATAGTTTTAGTTTGACCTGTTGATTTTTACAGAGTAACCCCAGAGTGCATCATCTGGGTGCCATCAATAGCGTTTGCTATCCATTAAGGTGATCACTGCATGAGGCACTTTTATGTTGATGTTTTGGTTCAGTGTTCATTTATCTGCCTCCTGAAGTAGGCTTACAGTGATGATCAAAGCCCAAAGGCATGGAAGCCATCATGCCACCATAGAGTCCGGTTGCTTGGAGAGATAAGCTACCAGTCACTACCATGGTCCAAATTCTTGAGTGAGGATGCCCAGGACCATCTGGCTTTTCATTAGAACAAAGATTGAATTCCCAAGCAGTCCAAGCACTGGGGCAGAGGTCAGCCGGCACCTCATTGCCTGAACAGCTTGTTCTTACTAAGTTTCCATTGCAAAGTCTCTTATTCTAAGCTTTTTACAATTGCATACAGAGGCAGAGTCAATACCACATATTCTAGTATCCAAATTCTGCAGAATTCAGCCACACCCAGGATTTCACATACCTCTTTTTGGTGTTTAACCTAGGTATTGAGAAGATAGTTCGGTTTTGCTCTGGCCTCAGCGATCTTTCCCCATGGGAGACCGGGAAGCCCACATACTTTACCTGCTGCTGACATATCTGGGCCTTCTTCCAGGAGACTTAGTAGCCAGCCTTATTAAGAGGGTCAGCAATGCTTGGGTGCCCCTGCAACTGTCCTTTTGGTTGGAGCTAGCTAGGAGGAGGTCATCCACATATGGTAATAAGACATTGTTCATTTGGTCCCCTGGGAAGGTGGCCAAATCTCCAGCTAGGGCTTCTTCAAATAAAGTAGGGAATTCTTTAACCACTATGTGGCAATTGGGTCCAGATCAGTTGATCCCCTTTCCTTCTGTCAGGATCCTCCCATTCAAAGGCAAAGAGTGGCTGGCCCACTGGGGTCAGGGCAGAAAGAAGCATACTTGAGATCAAGGTAAATGGACCTGCCAGCTAGCATGGGCATGAGGCTAAAGAGGGTTTGGGACTACAGGGAATATGATTATTGTAACATTATTAACTGCTCGTAAGTCCTGGACAAGCTGATAGTCTTTTTTCCCCGTTACTTTTTCACCAGCAGCAATGGAGTGTTCCATGGCGACTGGATATGGTTTTTGATGCCTAGGGGTTTGCTCCTGGTTTTAAGTTCAACAACCAAGGGAGGTGGGTGATTTTTTTAGCCATACTAGGAGGATTGCCTTTGGCCCAGACAGTAGGAAACTTTCAGTAGGCTAGGTGAATTGGTAATCTCATCTTTTTTTTCTTCTTCTTCTTCTTTTTCCGGTCGTGGGGCTTGAACTCTGGGCCTAGGGACCGTCCCTGAGCTCTACAGCTCAAGGCTAGCACTCTACCACTTGAGCCACAACACCACTTCCAGTTTTTTCTGCTTATGTGGTGCTGAGGGACCCAGGGCCTCATGCATGCAAGGCAAGCACTCTACCACTGAGCCAACTTCCCATTCTGGTAATTCATCTTGATCAAAGAATTGCCACTCAGATTCTCCTGTCACTGTTGTTATTAAGGCCTTCCCATTTCCCAGTGTTGGGTGAGCTGGCTCCCCCTGGGTGAGGATGTTCTGGGTGCTCAATATGGACAGATGGTCTCTTTCCAGTAGAGGGATTGGGCAGTCTGGTAAATATAGACACTCATGGCATACCAGATGGCCATCACGTTGCAGCCTTGGGTTTGATATAAAGGCCAAGTCAGTAGCCCCCATAGTGATTTCCTAGCCAGTGAGTGGGGCTACTAGACATGTTACAGTGGGATGCTGTGCTCCTGTATCTACCATAAAACTCATTGGCCCTCCACCATCATTTCGACCAGGGGCTCCTGGGGCAGGGGGGCCTAAGGATCAGGTCACCCCTATTCTGAATATAGTGCATCCACTACAGGTCTGTGTTTGGGGTGGCAGTACTGGCATGTACCAGGTCTAATTGGCCACCTAGGATATGTTCTTGGAGCCACTCTTGGGCCTCCATTAAAATGCACCTCCTTTTCTCAGTACTGAAAAGAGTGAGAAGGAGCCGGCAGCAATTACCCCAAGTTGGTTGGTTGATCTGGAAGTTGGACTCCAGGAGGTCTCTGAGGGCCTGGGGTTTCTTCAGATAAGGAATATGATATTTCTAGTTCAAGAGGTCAGTGGTACTGAAGAGTTGATAATAAAATGTAGGCCACCCTTTTGGACTGTGCCATATGAGACAATTTGCTGGGGGCCTCACAATTTTTTTGGGGGGGGGTCCAGTTGTGGGGCCTGAACTCTGGGCCTGGGCGCTGTCCCTCAGCTCTTCAGCTCAAGGCTAGTGCTCTACCACTTGAGCCACAGCACCACTTCCGGCTTTTTTCTTTTTCCTTATGTGGTGCTGAGGAATCAAACCCAGGGCCTCAGGCATGCAAGGCAAGCATTCTACCACTGAGCCACCTTCCCAGCCCCAACCTCATGGTTCTTGGCAGGGCATTTACAACACTTGAGCCTGGGCCTCCTGCTCAGCCCTGAGGCTTCAGTCCTCAGGTTGGAGTCTGGCTCTTCCCATTGAAGCAAGACTGATAGTGGCAGGCTTTCAGGCAACTGCCCTGGCACCTCTACTGCTGCGAAGGGTACATAGGGCATAAGTGCAGTGCTTCTTCCTCAGCGTCCCCTTCATAAATGGTCTTCTTTTCTGAGGCCAAGATAGTTATACTAATACGATCTTACATTGGTCCTGTGAGTTTGTGTTGAAGCTCATCATTGAGGGAAGGTTAAGGTAGTCTGTAACCAGGAGTCTACATAGGGGAGCTGGTCTAGATAAGCATACGCCCCTGATACCAGACAGTAGACTTCCCTAATGAACAGACAACAGAAGGTACTAATGTCATTTACCTGGCCAAGTCCCTTGTGGAAGCTTAGGTGCTTCTTAGCTAAAGGTGTACATGTATTAAAAAACGTAGGCCTGATCAGAGGTCCCTTATGGAATGTGAATCACTTTATGTGCTGCAAGTTGGGACCCACCTGAACTCCGTAGGTTTTGGCCACAGATAGTTTCACATTCATTCACACATTCATCCAAGAGGCTAAAACAATCCCTCCCTGTTTAGGGAGTGCCCTAAACTGGTGGCTGTCTGTGAAGAGACACCAATTGGTGGCCCTGTGTAAAGAAAAGCTTGAACAGATGATTCCTTCTAAAAGAAGGGGCCTAAACTGGTGATGGTTTTTAGAAAGGGCCCTGGGAGGTGATCAGGCTCTCCTTCTGTCCTGCTGCATGGAACTGGTTGGGTCAGAAGGACCTGGCCATTATCTGATTCAAAAGAAGATGTTATAAGTTGTTCCATTCTGCACTGAGTCTAGGAGATTGTGCTTTCTCAGAGCTGCAGGGCCCCAGAAGGACGGCCCAAATAACAGTTTAGTGGAGTTCAAACCAATGGAGGCCCATACTGGTGCCTCAAAGGACCAGCAAGGTTGTTTCCCAATTAGGGAACCATATTGTTACAGAAAATAGTCTGCGAAGAAGCAAGCGGCACTTGCCGCTCAGGTTATTACACCAGAAGGCCCAAGGGAGTTCCCATTCTAAAATCTGAACCCCAACCGGCAGGAGTACAACCCTTTCTGGTGTTTGGGTTCTGGGTTTTAGTTTTGGGTAGAGCACAAGCGTTTTGAGTTTTGCTTTACCCCAACGGTTAGTTCTCGAAATTTGAAGTGTAAAGGTCAAGTTAATTCTGGTCAAGCTGGTTCTGTCAATAACAACTCACCATTACCAAATTGAGTTAGTTCTGATAACTGCAGGTTTTTTCTTATCAAGAAGACGGACAAGGATGGCATGATCCTAGGGCATGAACAGCAGGGAACTGGGGCATGGGTGAGGGGGTGGTTTAGAGTTGAGGTCTCTGAGACTGATAAAAGAGGAATGGAGGGGATGTTGCAAGGTTTGATTGTGTGTGTGTGTGTGAGAGAGAGAGAGAGAGAGAGAGAGAGAGAGACAGAGCGTGCGTGCATGCACATGCATGGATACTAGGTCATTGCACTCTCACTTTTTCTGCTTTTTCTGCTTATAGCTGGCTCTGTCACTTGAGCTACACATCCACTTACAGCTTTTTGCTGTTTAATTTGATGTAAGAGTCTCATGGACTTTTCTGTGTGGGCTGGCTTTGAATCCCAGTCTTCAGATCTCAGCCTCCTGAGTAGGTAGTATTATAGCTGTGCACCACTGGCACTGGGCAAAAGTAACTTTTTGTCTGTAAAGGAGAGGAATTGGAGAGGGTTGTGGGCTGTGATAGGCAGAAAGGGATTAGAGCACTGAAAAAGGCTCCCAGGCTGAGGAATGGAAGGAATGAGGGTCTGTTCCTATGTTGATATAGAGGAGTTGAGTTTGGATGTAAGTAAATGTTTGAGCATCGGGAATATGAATAAAGAAAAGAGCCAAAAGGGGAACTCAACAGACCAACAGGTTTTATTCAGGATGAAAACATGGGACTAGCACCAAGTCTTCACCTCGGCTAAAGGAACAAAATTGAACACCTCCCTTACAACAAGGGTCTCCTTTTATTAGGCAGAAAAGGTGAAGTCAGGTGGGGCAGATGTTAGTGGGGTGCCATGGAGGCGGGGTGGGAGAGCAATTTTACTTTGAGTAGGAGGTCTAAAGATTTCAACAGCACCTGTGTCCATGAGGGGTTTCAGTGCCAGATGTGGTCTTGGTCTCAGGCTCTCTTCCAAGACCACAGGGTACATTTGTTCAGAGAAAAGGGAATCTAGATGATTCAGCAGGGTGGGCAGCAAGGATAGTCCTAAGGTATGGCTGCCAAGGGGAAGGTGAGTGCTTTCATTTTAAGTTATTTTCCATCATTGGGGGCTCTAGCTCAGATGATGCAAAGGTAGTGAAAGTTGTAACATTGAAATAGCAAGATAAAAGGACAACAGACAGCAGAAAGAAATAGCTTAAATGCTAAAATAAGGAAATGGGGAGGTCTTGGGCCAAGGAGGCAATGGGAGGCCATACACTGAAGTAGAGGACCAGACTGAAGGCAAAAAGCTGGAAGTGGAGTTGTGGCTCAAATGCAGAGCCCAGAGTTCAAGCCCCAGCATCAGCACAGAAACAAGCAAACCAGGGAATGTTTCCTGCAGCAAGTACAAGCAAGAATGAAGGAGGAAGAATAATTCCTGGTTGATGGTGAAGGGAAAACCATGGATCCTCAGTCTGAGAATAGGAGGGTTAGGGAATCCTTCCCCAGAATCCCTCTATCTCTTCAGTAGAGAAGTCAAAAACGGGGAATCCTTGGCCTTGGTGGCTTACTTCTGTGATCTTACCTACTCAGGAGGTCCAGATGTGAGGATTTAATTTCAAAGTCACCCAAGCAGTAAAATCCACGAGACTCTTATCTCCAGTTAGCCATCAAAAAGCTGGAAGTAGGGGCTGGGAAGTTGGATCAGTGGTAGAGCGCTTGCCTCACATGCATAAGGCCCTAGGTTCGATTCCTCAGTACCACATAAGCAGAAAAAAGCCGGAAGTGGCACTGTGGCTCAAGTGGTAGGGCCCTAGCCTTGAGCTGAAGAGCTGAGGGACAGTGCCCAGGCCTAGAATTCAGCCCCCAGAACCAACAACCAACAAAAAGCTGGAAGTGGAGGTGTGGCTCAAAGGATAGAATCCCAAACTTGAGGTAAAAAGCTTAGAAACAGCACCCTGGCCCAGAGTTCAAGCCCCAGAACCATCATAAATGGAAAAAACAAAAAAAAAGAAGAAGAAGAAATAAACTCCTGGCCCAGGACAGGGAAGAACAGGGTGGAAATGGGGGATTATCAGATGCTTGTTGCCTGTGGCAGCTTGTAAGTTTTGAACAAGCACTAAAGAAAACATTAAAGCACAAACATTAAAGCACAAACCAGGTTTGTGTGTCCTGAGACACAACTTGCTTTCCCCTTTTTAGAGCTTCAGTGTCACCCACCTCCCACCATTCCCTTTTCTTTTCAGGCTGCTGCTATTTCCTAAAGCCTCCATGGCTGAGGACTGGCTGGACTGCCCAGCCCTGGGCCCAGGCTGGAAGCGACGGGAGGTCTATCGAAAGTCTGGGGTCACCTGTGGACGCTCAGACATCTATTACCAGAGGTACTGGGTGGCTTGTGAGCAAGTCAGGTGGAGCTGAGTCTGGTTGGGGGTTATGGAGAAGAGAGTGATTCAATTCACGTACATATTCATTAATTGAAGATTTTGTTTGCAAATTCACTTATTTAATAAAATTTATTTGACCAAAGTTAATATTCACAGTGCTTTCGTGGTTATTCAGAGAAGAGTGAAAATTTTGAGTTGCTTAGTATGTGTGATCCCAGGCCAAATGGAACAAGGGTTTTCTGTTTTCACCTGTTGTACTCTCAACTTGCCTCATTTTGCCTCTGATCTGTTTAGGGCCTTTTTTTTTTTTTTTTTGTGCTTTTCTGTTTGTTCCCAGTTTCCCAGTTTCTCTGTTTATATAACCCCTAAAGTAATACTCCAGTGTCAGGAATACAAGAAGATTATGATGTTACTTACACACAAAAGTGTCAGATAAGCTTTGTTCTGGCATTAATTGCAGTGAATTCAGTATTAGAGATCCAAAATATGGATCTAGAAAAAGAAGAAACTTGCCTGTATGTATGTGGGGCTACACTGGTAATTACTAAAAGTAACAACCAAAAGTAATTGATGACACTAAGGGAAAACTAGGAAAACAGCTAAGTGTGTGAATCCATGAAATGATGGCCAATAAAACATGGACAACATTGTTATAAGGAAAACCAAAGACATGTTATCCAGCATAAGGGAAATATAAATCCATCTCTGTGCTGGCTGGCTTGTACATTATACAAGGTGATATGGTATGAAAAATGTTATACTTGTGTGGAATGCAGGCTGTACAAATCAAGAATCTGCAGGAAAAATCTTTTAAATGCTTGTTGTTATTCAGAATAGCATTTAGGTTTCAGTGCTAATGACTCTTTTTGTGGGGGGAGGGCAGTCCTGGGACTTGAACTCAGGGCCTAGATACTGTTCCTGAGCTTTCTTGTGCTCAGGGCTAGCCCTCTACCACTTGAACACCACTTCTGGCTTTTTCTGAGTAGTCTATTGGCAATAAGAGTCTCATAGACTCCCCTGCTCAGACTGGTTTTGAACGGCAATTTTCCGATCTCAGCCTCCTGAGTAGCTAGAATTGTGAGCCACTGGTGCCTGGAAAATTTCATTTGTTCGTTTGTTTATTTATTTATTTATTGCGAGTTGAACTCAGGCTTGGATACTCTCCTTGAGTTCTTTTGTTCAAGGCTACCTCTTTGAGCCACAGCTCTACTTCCATAATGGGACTTTTTTGATGAGAACCTTGGTAGACAAACCTATATGACAAAAATGGTCTTCAAGGTCCTTGGCTTTGAGTCGGTCATAGACCTTGCAGTCATTTGTGAGAAATATTTATTAAGTAAAATGCCTTTAAACAGAATATACATAAAACAAGGCAGTGTATTAATTAGTGGTTGAAAATGTGACTGAAGCTAGCTGAAACCTAACCATGTATTTCTGTTTGAAATGAGTAGCTAGGATTACAGGCATGAGCCACCAACACCTGGTTGCTGTGAATGCCTTTCTTATAAGATATACAGAAACAGAAGAGACCCATGAAGTTTATTATCAACTACTTATAATTTATTATATATAGTTGTATTTTTATATGTTTTCTAACAGCTTTGAATTGCCTTGTGTATGCATTTGGCAGGTAATATTTATGTTTGCTGTTTCATATGTTTTGCTGTTTTCATTTATGTTTTTATTTACATGAAGTGTTTTCAATACCACTAGTACTATGTGTTATAGCTAATGTCTGTTTATATCATATAGCTATGTGTTATTTAATAATGAGAATACATTCTGAAAAATAGGCATTACTAGATTTTCCTGTGTATACATACAGTAGAATTACACAAATCTAGATGGTATAATGCACTATGTATATACATGTTATGGTCATTGATTGCGTCCCAGCGGTGGGGATACATTTTAGAAGCGTACCATTAGGCAGTTTCATGATGGGATGTACTTAGACAAAACAGGACCACTATGGTATCCCTAGGCAATGTAGTCAGTGGGACCCCATCATGTATGTAGTTCATTATTTGTCAGGACGTTCTTGTGCAGCACATTACCATAATGTATATACTATAGTCTGCTGCTCCTAGGACTATACCAAACAAAATGACACAGGATTAAATCAAATAGAAGAGGAAATTATGGAATGAAGAGATGTAGTAACCATGAGATCTGTGAGTCTGTTGTGGCCAACGTAGTATATAGTGAACTTAAACTCTTGAGATAATGAAAAAAGGAGTACAGTCGTAGTCATTATCTTAAATCAAGTATTATGTCATGTGCAGCGTTGTGCCATACTATATGATTGGCAGTGCAGCAGGCTTGTTTACAGCAGCATCACCACAAAAACATGAGTAAGACATTGTGTTTGACATTACAATGGTCATCATGTCACTAGGCTATAGGAATTTTTCATCCCTATTATAATTTCATTAGACCAGTGTAGAATATTTGACCTGTGGTGGATTTGAATGACATTATGTGGTTCACTGTGTTTAGTAATGCTTGTATACATGCTGGTAGTGGTGATGGGACCTGACTTGGAATCATAGCCTGAATCCTGGCTGCCTCCTGTATTGCACTAGCTCTGTGGGAATGTTAGGTGGGTGGAATGACATTTGCTTCACCTGAGTTAGCAACTCATCCTGATCCATCCCCAGCCCCACAGGAGACAGGATCCGAAGCAAAGTTGAGTTGACCCGTTACCTGGGCCCTGCATGTGACCTTACCCTCTTCAACTTCAAACAAGGCATCTTGTGCCATCCAGCCAGCAAGGTACTTCATGATATGGGTGCCCAGGCAGGGGTTAAGCCACCCGACACCTACCCATGTACTGAACCATAATCTTCCTGCCCTCATGTCTCCAGGGCCATTCTGTGGCCATTCCCAGCAAGAAGCAAAAGAAGCCTTCAAAGCCAGTGAAGGCTCGGAATCATCAGGTTGGACCCCAAAAGGGTGAGATCAGGAAGGAAACCCCAAAGGATGAGACCAAGGCTGATACTGGCACAGCGCAAGCTTCATTCCCTGCACCTGGGTGAGTGTTGACTTGACGTCAGCCAGGTAGCTGAGGTTTGTTAGGGGTGCTGTTAGGGCCCCACACCTGTCTTTCCTATCCCAGGTGCTGTGAGAACTGTGGAATCAGCTTCTCAAGGGATGGTACCAAGAGACAGTGGCTTAAGACATTGTGCAAGGACTGCCGAGGTGAGTGGTCCCCTAAGGAATTGGGGCATTAGGAGACAGGAACAGAATAAACATCAGGCTAAGCTGGAATTTGAGTGGTGGATACTGGCATGGGAAGTTGAATGATAGACATCAGAGCCCAGATAGTGTCCCTTGACCAAGTGTCTCCCTAAAGGGACAGATAGAAAGTCTGTCTCACTTTCCATCCTTCTTTCCCTCTGCCAGCACAGAGAATTGCCTTCAACCGGGAGCAGAGGAAGTATAAGGTAAGAACATTGAACTTCCACAGCCCTGCTGTGGGCACTGGATGTAATGGGCTTGATGTGGGATATGAATGTTTGGTGACAGGTCCACAGGGTGTGAGAGTCCTTTTGAAGGGACGTGGCCATAGATTGGTTAGTAGATAGTAGCAGGAATTAGGGTGTCAATCAGTAAACATACTGAAGGATTCACCAGGGAACCAGTAGATACAAGAGTGTCCTCAGAGTGAGCTAGTCAGTAATTACTAGATTCAGTGAAGGAAGCATGGTGGTGGGAATAGAAGTCATGTCCGTAAACATAAGAGAAACAGAGGTCTTGGAGTCACCTTACTGGGGCCTTTGATCTTGCTCTACACATTTACAGCGTGTGGGCTGTGGAGAGTGTGCAGCCTGCCTGGTAAAAGAAGACTGTGGGACCTGCTCTACATGCCTCCAGCAGCTTTCCCATGATGCAGCTCCAAAGCCATTCTGCAAGTGTGAACGGAGGCGCTGCCTCCGGATTGTGGAGAAGGTGAGTCAAGCACATGGGGTGGGCCCAAGGCTCACCTCAGCCTCTGGCTTTCATGACCTTGACCCCATGCATCACACCTCCGGCCTCCCACAGAGCCGAGGGTGTGGAGTGTGCCGAGGCTGTCAGACCCAAGAGGACTGTGGCCGTTGCAGAGTCTGCCTTCGCCCTCCCCGCCCTGGTGTCAGGCGCCAGTGGAGGTGTGTGCAGCGGCGCTGCCTTCGGGTGAGTCAGGCTGGAGGGGCCAGTGCTGCTGGGGCCAAGGCTGGGCCAGAGCAGCCATCACTACTAAAGCTGCCACCACTGCTGCTGTTGCTTCTTCCTGGTCTGGCTTTGCCCACCTCATGTTTTTTTCTCTTCTGCCCCCATGCTTACCTCTCTGGCCTCACCTTTCTCTGCCAGCATCTTACTCACCGCCCTCATCGCTGCAAACAAGGATGTCAGCGTTGCCCTCCCCTGGTTGTGGTTCCCCCTGCTGTGAGTGTCCCAGTGTGCACTACCTGACTGTTTCTTACTTCTTGGAGGTCCTGTGCTTGCCTTATGCTTCCAAACCTCAACTTGGCTCTCTCCCAGGGTAAGAAACGCAGCCATCGAAGGGGAGGCTGCAACACCAAGAAGGCTCCCCGGAGGCGCTCCCAGGCTCAGCCACCGCCTCAACTTCCTGCATCAAAGTCCCCAAAGCACAGAGAGCTGGTAAGGTCCTGTTGGGTAGGGGATGGTATAAGCCTGACCTTATCTAGTACCTGGCCTGACCCCCACCCATTTGCTTCTACAGCACACCAGTGCTCCAGCGCCCTCATCACCTGCCGAGTTCATCTATTACTGTGTAGAGGAGGATGAACTAGTGAGTGGCCTCCGCCCTTCTTGGATAAACCTAGACTGTTCTGATGGTTAACTCCTAAAAAGCAGATTTTGTAATGGGCCTAATGGGAGAACAGAACGGCACAGTAATGGGGAGTGGAATGACATGAACAATACTGAGGGAAGGAATAGTAAGGGATCAACCACTGCAGCAATAGTTCCTTGGTATCAGATAAACTCACACTGGTACCTAATACTGGACTAGCAGACTACTAATGGGGCTGACTACTAATGGGGCTCATGTAGGATAAGTAGACTCAGCTGACACAGTGAGGAGAGATCTTAGAAATTCAGAGAAATCCTAATGAGAGGGACAGGGGGAAGGGGGAGACATCAAAGCTATTGTCGTGGCAGTTCCTGGGGGAGCAGCAGGTTCTGTGAAGGTAATGGTGGTAGAACAACCACATCCCTAATAGTTGATCAGAGCCAGCTGGCACAATGATGGTGGCTGATTTGAAGGTAACAAGCTGAGGTGTGGTGCGCGGAGACTTAGCAGGTTGAGGTTAGTGTGTAGCTAACTTGTCCCACATGGTTAGGGGAGCACCAGGAACAGCACTGGAGTAGGCATTGAGGATGGCTCCTCCTAATCCTAGTGACAGCAGCGCCATTCCCCTCCACCCCAGCAGCCCTACACGAACCGGCGGCAGAACCGCAAGTGTGGGGCCTGTGCAGCCTGCCTACGGCGGATGGACTGTGGCCACTGTGACTTCTGCTGCGACAAGCCCAAATTTGGGGGCAGCAACCACAAGCGCCAGAAGTGTCGTTGGCGCCAGTGCCTGCAGTTTGCTATGGTGGGTGGGGTAGAAAGGGTTAAGTGGATGGGATAGGTTGGGCCAGGCCTCCCAGTGCCTGGGAGTGGTGGGAAGACCTGGTAGGTGGGTGGGTGGTTCAGTGGTTCTGGCCAAGAATTAGCAGACATTGTTTCTGGGTAACTGAATCCAGTTGGCACTGGCTTTGCTAATGAGAGACTAGCAGGCAAGTGATGAGGTCTTATGTACCCAGAGTCTCTGCTGGACTAATGGGAAGTTAGCAGGGTGGGTGTGGTCGGTCATGGCACTGGATGATCATAGCATCCCCGTCTTTCCTCATAGAAGCGACTACTGCCCAGTATTGGATCAGCGTCCAAGGAGGGAGCAGAATCGCCTCCACTGTGCCGTCGCCGAAAGAGGCCCAGCTCTGTAAAACGGCACCGCCCGGGCCCCACACGAAATCCGTCCCGGACTACACGCACATCCCGACCGGGCACATCTCGACCGGGCACATCTCGACCGGGCACATCCCGACAGGGTACATCTCGACCGGGCACATCCCGACCGGGCACATCTCGGCCAGGCACATCCCGACCAGGCCGTGCCCAGTCTCCAATGAAGCAGGAAGCAAGTGGTGGCTTTGTATTGCCCCCACCGGGTACCGATCTTGTATTTTTACGGGAGGGTGCCAGCAGTCCTGTGCAGGTGCCTGGCCCTGCGGCAGCTTCCACAGAAGTCCCATTGCAGGTGAGAATGCCCCTTACCCTACCTTACTCAGCCCCATGTATCCTCATGCCAGGGGCTAAAGCCAACTTTACCATTCTCTCTCATGCAGGAGGCACAGTGCTCTCGCCTGAGTTGGGTTGTGGCCTTACCCCAGGTGAAGCAAGAAAAGACAGATACCCAGGAAGAGTGGACCCCAGGCACAGCCATCCTGACTTCTCCCACATTGCAACCCGACTGCCCTAACAAGGTGGGGGCAGTGCTGGTGTTTTCTGGGGGCCACAGTGAGAGAATATGTAAGCAAAGTGATGGTGAGCCATGGTAGTGTTGTGAGCACAGCTGTAGGCATGATGACTGAAGTAGCCTGTTGTTTGTGAATCACTTCATTCTGTATAGGCACGCAGCTTTGTCTGTTGTGCTGCTCAGCTGAAAGGAAAGATTGGTGAGAGATGGGAAAATCTGTAGGCACAGGGGCAGCATTTCTTGGTGATGGAAGTGTGGCAGGCTGGTAGAGAGAGACTGCCCTTGGGTCAGTTCTGTCCTAACTGCAGCCCTTCCCCATTTCTCTCAGGCAGTAGACCCACTTCTGCCATCTGTGAAGCAAGAGCCACCAGACCCTGAGGAGGAGAAAGAAGAGAACAAGGATAACTGTGTCTCTCAGTTAGCCCCAGAAGAGGAGACTGGAGGGGCTGGCACACCTGTGGTCAGTGTTGGAGGATCCCCCGTCCTTCCCTCATCTTGCCTTAGTGCCTCCAGCCATGCTGACCTGTGATGTTAATTCTTTCCTAGATCACGGAGATTTTCAGCCTGGGTGGAACCCGCTTCCGGGACACAGCTGTCTGGTTGCCAAGGTGTGCCCCACACAGTGAGGGGTAGGCATGGGGTGGGTGCTGGTCAGATGTGGGCCCTGAATTTTGAAAGTACAGCTAGGAGTTTGGCTGGATACAGAGACAGATAAAGGCCTATATCTACTGTGCTGCTCATGACCAGGGAGGGTGTATGTGTAGCACCCTAGAGATTATCTTGAAACCCAGGCCAAATGGTGTTCCAGCCTCTCCTTTTGGGAAAAGGAAAGAAAACTTGACGCTCTGTGATGAGATTTTAAAAACAAAACAAAACAGAGATCAGAATCTGGTTCCCATTTTCCTAAGAAAATCCTGCAAAGCCAAACATAATGTACAAACTCTTACTCTGTGGATCATTGTTTGAGGTCTTAAAGGCCTTTGTAATTTCCCAAGAGGTAATCTCCCATTGGGTAGCCTGTCTGCTTCTGATGGTGGGAAGAATACGTATCACAGACATTGCGCAAGGCTGGCCCTAGTGTGGGGAAGGCAGGGAGTGTAGATCCTTAGCTGGCTCTGTGAGTTGGGTATACATGCAGCTGCTATATGACCTCTGGCTCATTTCACCTCCTATAGCATCGTGTTTGGAAGGATTTGAGCTGTCTCTCAGCCTTTACTATTGAGGTTACTACCTGTGTCAGATCCTATGCAGAACTTTCCCTATAGTTCTGGCAATAGGAGGAAGGGCAAGATACCTCTAAGAACTGGGCTTGGAGGAGGGCAGGTGAATGCTCCCTCCTGCAAGAGGTCCATGCATGAAGTACCAAGTGGGCTTTCAAACAGAAACGGCCTATGCACATGGCTTCCCTTTCTCCTATTAACCAGTTTTAACAGGCTGGAAACCCCTCCAACTAAAACTGGGAAATGAAAGAGATATTGACTGGTATAGACCCAGTTCCTGGTGGGTACACAGCAGTGGAGATGTAAGCCTTGCCCTTCAAGGGACAGAAACCTACCTGCAGGAAGCTTACCATTTCCCTGTGTGTGGAATCTTGCTTTCCAGGGAAGATGCTGTACTGTCTGCATTGGTAGTTTGTGGAGGAAAGAAAAGAAGTAGAGGCAATTAAGGGAAAGGGGCCAGAGACACATAATAGTAGGAAATGGGTTTGTGATGCTCCATTTTGCAAATAGTAAACGTCATTCAACATACAGACCTGCTCCTTCTTCTCTAGGTCCAAGAAACTTAAAAATCCTGGAGCTAGAAAGCAATAAACTGGAGACTTCTGCAGACTGTAGGATTCAAGGTGATACTTGCAGAGCGGCTTTGAGAGACACCCTGATGTACTAGAGGCTGGGTAGTAGACTGGTTGAAGGGCTGGTGCATGGATTAAGCCTAGGAGGAAAAGCTAGCAAACCAAGGAGCAGGCCCACTTAGTACTTAGAATTTAAGGAAGTCAGTAAAAGTTGGTCATCTGTTCTTCTGGGCTTCTGAACACAATGAGAAGCTGTATTCATGGGAGGAGAATCGGGGGTGAGGAAGGAAATGTAATTTAAAGTCACTACAAAGAACCTACAAGCCACCTTCATCGATGATTTGAAGTGGCTTCTGGATGGGACCTGGCAGTGTCTCAACATTATCTCAGGGAGACAGGAGTTGAAAATGCAATGTCAATAAAGGAGGAAAGGAAAGGGACCACTGTTTGATGAGCTCCTGTGGACCAACTACTTTAATCCTGAAAACAGTCTTTTAAGGAAAACATTGTGCACTTTTGCAGGTGAGGAAACTGAAACTCAAAAGATACTAACTTTCCCAGTGTCAATTAGAATTGGTAGAGTTTAGCATTATGCCCAGAGTGTAAGGTTTTGTTCTTTACGCTGTTGAACTGTTAACTGCAATCCTGTGTGCAATAATGTTACAATATTTCAGTAACAGTATTTTTAGTAGCTTTGAAAATACACAGTGGATTTCAATAAGCACTGTAATAAACCTTTTATACTCTTGCCTCTAGCATGGTTTAGGGACTGCTAAGGCTATATGTAGGTGGGTTCATCTTGTCAGAGCACCTATTCATCCTCAAACTGGATTCCCCACAGACAGCAGATGCTGCATAGGATTTTTCAAATCCTAAAGAGTATTCCTACCCACCAGCTGCTCCCTGACCTCCCCGACCTCAGCCAGAGCAGTGTTTGGAACTAAAATTGCCTGACTGGCTATATCTTCCCTGACAATGAACATCTTCTATCCTCTAATGACCCTTGTGCATGGTTCTTGCCTCCAGCTCAAATATCTACTAGGAGGCTCATTTCCTGCTACAAGTCCTGCCCTAAGGGCCACTCTTGGCTTAGCCCTACCTCACTCTCCATACTTCATTAATTGCCAGAAAGACATGTAGCTTGTAACTTAACCACCTTTACAGTGCCAGAACTGGGTGAGTGCCCCTTAAATTTATATCATACGGTGTTCCTTACCTTAACCTTATTCCTGGCCCTGCAACTTTAGGTAATTCAGATAAAGATTATTCCTTTTATTTTTTAAGACAAGGTCTTGATTTACAGCTCAGAATTGCTTTGAACTCACTTTGTAGCCCTGGCTAGTCTCAAACTCATAACAATAATTCTCCTGCCTCTACCTTCCAGGTGCTAATATCATCTCCCATTTCTAATTCTCAAGATACAGCTGTCTGCCACACTTTTCTTCCTTTGCCCTTCCTTACCTAGTTCTGTCCTGGCCAAGACTGGATATTCTGATGATGCTCTATTTCCACTAGGAGCCAATCACTAGCTCTAGTATTCTGATAGTGATATTCTAAGGGAAATGTGTTTGCTTGACATCCCAACTGAAAGAAGAGTCTGATTACTGTGTGTGTTAATTAGGGTACAGTCAAAACAGCAGAAACCTCTTAAGACAGCGATGATGTATGTGATTATGTAGAGGGATTCAACCTTACACATGGTGGGTACTGGTTACACAGTCTCTGGTAAGGTTGTTAATTCTGCATCTCATGCTGGAGCTTGAAGTCTGCAGCAGGCAGTCGGGAAGGGAAGATGAATGTAAACTGTGGGAGACCCAGGACATATTGGAGCCCACGAGCAGAAGCTGGGACCCACAAGTATGGCCTGGAACCCAAGTCAGTTTCTCACCACCTCCAGCTTCGATGCTCCCAGGGGAGGTGGAGCAGTGGCAAGCCTAGGTGTAGGCCTGACTGCTGCCCCACACCAATGAGGTGAGCCAGCAGAAAACGGACATCACTCGTGAACTGCTGAGCTACGGCAGCGCCTTGTCTCCACATCAGCCTTGCAAGTGTAAAAATCTCAGTATGCTGCTGCTTCACTTCTGTCCTCCAGTTATCAGAGAAAATGTGTACCCAGAAGCATATGGGGAAGGGAGTTCCAGGACGTGGCCCCCGCCATGTTATAAAGCCCTCCTCCCATGAATCCGCTCCTGAGGGTCTCACTACTCACCCGAGGATAACTTGGTAAAGCTGTATTGTTGAAAATACAAAGCTGAAGACCATGGATTTCATGGTGACTCCAGCAAGGAAGGAAATCCTGTCAAGCCCACACAGAAGAAACTTTCTGATCTTGGTTATTTTTGTGTCATTCATTCAAGTATTAACCTGGCCCATAGTAGGCATTGTACTTAATCCTAGGATATAGGGAGGAAAAATAGGGTCCATTCAGTCTTATTAGATGCACTCCTTTATTACAAGCAGCAAATGGATCTCCAAATTTATCATGAACTTTAATGCTGAAATATGCAATCCAGGCAACTTTGGGAAAGCCAGCTCTTGTGAGAATCTTGTTGGGGCACAGTAAATGTTGGAAATAATTTAAATAATTTCTACCTAAGCTGTTACATTTTAAAATAATTTTTTATTGTTCCATTTACTGAACTATATGCTTAGTGTTTCTTTGGGGAAGGTTTTGGTGATGGTATCTGTGTTGGCTACCTTGAAGAAGCTGGGATGCTGGGAGACAGGATAAAGTTCAGTTTTGTCACTTCTCTAGACGTCCAAGTGTGATGAATGAGACACACCACTGGTGTTGAATCTCCTGTGCAGGACATGGTTCCAGTCCTTCAACCTCCTCAGGAACCCTCCAGGCCAATGGGGGCTATTATACAGGTTCTGACCTTGGCGATACTAAGCAACCAAGAATCACTACCTTTCACTGGGTGGGACCCAGAGGAAGCCAATTCCCTTCTTTAGAGTGGTGAAACAGGCAGAACTGAACTGGTTACTATGAAGCTCACTTTGAGTGAGCTCCTAGCATGATGAAATCTCCCAGGGCAGCTGCACAGTCCTAGTTGGTCTCCCCATGCTTTTGCAAACCCCAGCAGAACCCTTTGGGATGTATAACTCTGAGACACTGGGCAAGCACCCCTGAATATTAAGTGGCCTATCAAGGTGTTCCTGTTTTCAGAGTGCATGGGGGAGGGGGGGCGCCGTGGGTCGTTCCATATAGATAAACACCAGGAGGTGCAAAGATCCAAGAGTCATTCCTCAGGACACTAGGGAACCAAACAATCTCCTAATTTCCTTCTTTTTTGTTGTTTGTTTGTTTGTTTCAGGCTACATAAACTCTTAGCAGTAAATGAAAATGAGTATTTTACTGAACTACAGTTGAAAGAAGAAGCATTGTAGGAGGAAAAGAATTATTAAAGAGATTATTAAGAGAGAAGACATTATTTTGTGACTGAAAAGTTGAACCAGCAATTCAGGAAAATGGAATCCCGATCTAGAAACAAACCACAGAACATCTGAAGTGGGTGGATTACAAATGGTTGAGGAATTCCAATTTATAGTGATCCTCGGCTTTAAGAGGACAAATTAGTTGTACTTTGGTTGTTTAGTATATGTCATGCTGATATAATTACTGTTTTTTTTTTTTTCCTGTGTTCTACTGTTCTATGCTCACCCCCACTTTAGAATGGGGATAACTTTTTTTTTGGCAGTACTGGGATTTGAACTCAGGGTCTTGTGCTTGCTAGGCAGGTGCTCTTCTGCTTGAGCCATGCCCCAGCCTGTAAAGTGGCATTCTTAATTGGCTTTTAGGTATTAACTATACCACCCTGCGCTTGATGGAAAATGCAACTCTAGTGCCCATGTGTGCTGAAGGCCCTTTCTGGTTCTCTGATCGTTTTCCTAGTTCTGCCTGGGATCCTTATTCTTGGGAATGGATTGCATGGACTTTGGATCTGAAGACTGACTGTCCTTAGTCTGCTCAAGATGCCCAGTCTTTACTGTGCCCATCCAGGTCACACCACTGGTCCCATTTGATCTGCCCCTTTCCTATGGTAAACCTAAGTCTAAGCCCTGGTTTCTGCCCAGTGCTAGGATTTTTTTTTTAAACTGACTTTATTATACTGATTGGGTGGTTTGATAAAGCACTTAAGCTCCCTGAGCCTTAACTACTCCGTAAAATAAGGATACTACCCAGAGTTCCGTCATCCCTGATTGTTAGGCTCAAAGGCTGTATCTGAAAATACCTGCAAATTGTAAAGCACTACACCAGTCTAAGATTGTCTTGTGATTATTACGGTATGGATATGAAGAATAATGTGTGTGGGACGAAGTTTAACCTTTGCATGAAACTTTTGCTTCCAGACCCATTACAGGCTATAAATAGCAAAGCCGTCTGAAATTATACTTAGACCTTTGAGTCTCTTGGAACTAAAGAGGTTTTTAATTTTAATCCCCGCCCGCCATTCGCCGAACCGGAGGGGACGGGAGCTTGGCTTCCTGAGCTCTGGCCAGGAGCTGGGTGGACCCGCAGGATGTAGTCGGAGATTCGGCTTCACTGCAGCAACAGGAAGTCGCGAGTGCCGGTGGCTGTGGGTCCCATGGCAACAGGAACAACTTCCGGCCCGCCACCACCTTCAAGCCAAACAACAGGCACTCCCTTGGCAACCAGACCTGCCTCTGCAAAACAGGCCGCGCAGGTCTGGAGGCCGGAAAATGTACAGCCAGCGGTTTGGAGTCCTACAGAGGGAGATTAAGGGATCTACTACCAAGGTGGTGGCGGTGGTAAGCGGAGGGCGTGTGTGCCTGATCCTGTAGGTTCGGCTCTCCGGGTCTCCCTGAATCCAACTTCTCTCCCAGCACTGCGTTTGCCTGGGGAACCTGCCCCATCTGATGAGTTGAATTTTGGATGAAGGAAAAACGAGGTCGTTCACTGGTTCCCCTTACTCACTCAAGCCCTACCATTAGCTCTTTTACTCACAATCTCTAATATGAAGATTCATCAACACAAGGGCCAGGGGCGGGAGGGGGGGCTTTTCTCTCTCCTAGGTCCCGGATGGAAATATGTCCTTTGCACTAAGGAGGGGGTGAGGAGATGAGGGTCGTGAGAAAGACATTGAGCCTGGAGTCTGGGCTGGCCACGGTTCAGTAGTACACCTTGGACTGGTTCTGTGCCCCTGGGAAAGTCATGTGTGGAAGGGGAATTTGACTGTGAAGGGTTGTGCATGGTTATAGAACTTTTCTGTGCCAACTCGAGTAATAAGCAGAAACATTTGGAGGGGAGGGGCTGTAGAAGTGAGGACACCAACTGGATAGGACTTCAGCAAGGCAGAAGGATGTGCTAGTGACTGGAAGCCAAGGAGCAAGCACACTGAACAGAGACCTCCTGGGTTTTATTTAATTATTTTGTTGTTGTTGGTTGTCAGGCTTGAACTCAGGTTCGTGAGCTTTTTTCCCACAAGGCTGGCACTCTACCACTTTGAGCCACAGCACCACTTCGTGTTTTCTGGTGATTAAGTGGAGATAAATGGCTCATGGACTTTGCTGCCCAGATTGACTTCAAACCATGATCCTCAGAGCTCAGCCTCCTGTGTAGTTAGGATTACTGGTGTGAGCCACCAGTGCTCAGCTCCAGGCTTTATTCTTGTTGCATTACTGCCCCTCTTCCAATTTGTCAGGACTTAGGTCCACACCTATGATCCTAGCTACTTCGGAGGCTGAAATCTGAGGATGGAGATTCAAAGCCAGCTCCTGGCTCAGATTAATTGCTTGGGCTCCTGCTTGCATAGCACTGTAAGATACTGGAGTAAGTTCTATGACCCTGTAGGCTTCCTCCCCATTAGAAGCTGGATACTTCCTTCAAAGAGCTTATACTCTGGTTGCAGCAACAACTCATATATAAACCATTAGAAGTGAGTATAGTCTATATTGTCTGTGATGGATGATTCTAGAAGAAAGATCAGGGATAATCAAAGATTATACTTGTGTTATAGTCCACAGTGCACTTGGCAAATTTTGGTCAATTTACAGACCTGCTCCTTTTCTCAGTCCAAACTATAGGATTGGGAGCTGGAAAACAATAGACAGGAGGCTTCTATGGCTGTAGTTTTCAGACTGAGGGACAAAAAGTGATTGACTCTGGAGTCCTGTATCCACATGTGCCACCCAGGTGTTGTCCATTTTGGGGGCATTATTACTTGGGCTGGGAATGCACAACTAACAGGAAAAAATATGACCAAAACACAGAAGCATGTCTATTAAAATCTTGATACTTATAGGTTGATAAATTAAGAGGAAAAGGAAGAGGTCAGACTTGGTGCATCTGCTCCTCAGATGTCCTAGTGTGATAAGAAATGTTAGAGAGTTGTGTTAGGGAAAGAATCAAAATCACAAATTGATGAGATTTGGACAAGGAATTCCCTAGGAGAAATCAATAAAAACTGACTTGCATGCCTGCTGGTAAGGATACATATTTTTCTCATTTGACAGATAAGAAAAAGATTCACTAAGCACAGTAATAGGTGGAAGCCAGATTCAAATCCAGAATGAAGGCATTGGATTTGTTGGTTGATAATGAGGATTGAACTCGGTGACTTTGTGCTTGCTAGGCAGATGTTCTATCATTGAGCCATACCTCCAACCCCTTTTTGCACTGGTAGCTTTTGAGATATTGCATAGGCCAGCTCAGACTGTGATCCACCTATTTTATGCTTTCGACTAGAGATGGGATGTCAGATATGAACTACCAGGCCTAGTGTTTTTTGAGATAGAATCTTGAATTTTTTCTGGCAGGCGTGGGGGGGTAGGGGGTGGCGGGGAGGAGAGAGGAGTCTGGGCTGGCCTGGAACTGTAGTTCTCTCTGTCTCCCAAGTAGCTAGGGATTACAGGTGTGATCCATCAATATCTTGCTACAGATTTTTTTTAAAAGACAAACTGTAAACTATTTTCTGGAAACTTAATATGAGATATTATAGTAATAAAATTCTTCAGTAACAAGATCCTTAATCCTGTGTTGTTTTGTCTTTAGCATGTTTCAGAACTTCAGTGTCCAATATAGTAGTCACTAGCCAAACCTGACTTTGACCACTTGAAATGTGTCTGTCACATTTTGAAATGATAATATTTTGGTTGTATTGGTTGAATAAAATATATTAGCAAAATTAATTTCCTGTTTCATTTCTGATACTAGAAAATATAAATTTTCATATCTTTTGTGGTATAAGTCTTGTTGAACAATATAGATTTTGTACTATATCAAGACTGTACTTAGATTGGGATCGCCTTTTCAAAGAATTCCAGGTTATACTTTATTCATACAGATCAGTCCCTTCCCATACAATTTTCTACACAAGATGCACATAGCATAACAGGGCCTCTTGGTCCAGTAGCTGTTACCTTGTTTTTCAGAACCCCTAACTTCCATTCCTCTCTTAAGATAATTGCTTCTGCATGACCTTGGAATATGGTTCCTATTCTCAGCCAGTGTTCTACCAAGAGTCCTAGTTCTGCTGTGTTTCTTACCTATCATGCATCAGTGGTCCTGCTCTGCTTCTCTGTTGCATCTGCATTTCTAATGGTCCAGAAATAATAAGAGAACAGCACTCTGATTAACTGCCTGTAGGATCCAAATAATTTTGATAATGGATTGGTGGGAGTGGAGTTTGAACTCAGGGCTTGGTGCTTGCTAGGCAGATATCCTACCACTTGAGCCACATCTCTAACCTTTTTTGCTTTGGTTGTTTTTTTCTGCATAGTATCCTGCATTTATGCCCTGGCAGGCCATGTCCTTCCTCTTTATGTTCTGAGTAGCTGAGATGTCAGCTATGGTGGGACATGCCACTTTGTCCAGCCTTTTATTGGCTAAGATGAGATCTCACAAACTTTGCACAAGCTCTGGTTAACTAAATTTCTGGTTAACTAATTTCTAGAGCTCTCTTTTTATTTTTACTACCACTTTTGCCCAAGGGATACTTTAGAAATACAGTCTCCAACTAATGATTCAATTTGTGATTTTTATTTTATAACGATACAAAATGATAGGAATTCAATAGAAACTGTACTTTGACCAGAGATGCTTTCCTTGCTTACATAAACTAGGCATAGCATTGGACTCCAGATCCTAGGCCGGCATAGGATCATGGGAGTGAACAATAGACATTCAACAGTGTGCTGTGATGTTTGGTAGGTCAGATATGTTAAATGCGATTTTTTATTAACAATACTTTCAACTTATGATAGGTTTATCAGAGTGTAGTCCCATTATAGATCAAGAAGCATCTATATTTGAGACTGATTTTGTAATTCTTAAGCATAAACTCAGAAAGTCAAAAAAGTTACTCCTCAAGTGCTTACACTTTTCAGTTATCATGGATTGTACCCAATTTTATTTAGTCTTATCAGTCAAGGTCAG